GATATCTAGGTATACTTAAGATTTTGGAAATAGTTTTATTAAATAAAGAAGTTACTGAAGTGAATGTTGGTTTAGCCCAGAGTGTAAGGTTTATTTTTGTTCATTTAGCAAAGAAGTATATGAAGTATCACTAGGAAAGTAAGTTAAGGATGGGTCTACTTCACTCTTTTATTTCTAGCATTGCAGATTGTGGGTTTTGTTGTTGTTGTTGTTGTTTTGGGATTTTTTTTTGATCTCCTGAAACTTTTTTTTAAAGGATTTTATTTATTTTCTGACGAGAGAGAGAGAGAGACAGCGAGAGAGGGAGGACAAGCAGGGGGAGTGGGAGAGGGAGAAGCAGGCTCCCCGCTGAGCAGGGAGCCCAATGCACGGCTCGATCCCAGGACCCTGGGATCATGACCTGAGCCGAAGGCAGACTCTTAAACAACTGAGCCACCCAGGTGCCCCTGAAACTGTTTTAATAGCTCTTCAGAAAGATGTTTTGTTTGCAGAGATATCTTAGCCCTTTTTGCTAAGTTTAAATGAAGTGAAGGATTTCCATAGGAAGGTCACAAATGTCAAAAAACCAAGTATAGTAGAGTTCATTTTTTAATCCTATAATTTAGAGAAAAAGATGACGACCAAGAGTTACTGCTTTCACTTCCTAGTGAAACAAAATTCATTTCTGTTTCAAGTGAATGGTTGGTTGCCTCACTTCTATCCCACTTAACATCAACTGATTAAAAATGAGTTGCTAAGCAGTTTGGCCGATTTCAAATAAGGTACAAGCAGTGATATGTATTGATTCCTGAGTTAAGTGTGCTATTTTTGAAAGCTTATTGTCAACCTGGAAGAGCTCACCTATTCTGAGATTTGTTTTTGATATCACGATCCAAGTAATAACCTTTCAAAATGTTCGAGAAGAAACACTGTACGCAGGAAGAATATATTTATCACCTGTTAAGCTTTCAGGTTGAGGTGTTCTGTGCTTAGTGTAGGATTAAAGATCACAAATTAAATTCTAATACTTAAGAGCGGTAGGGTAGGAGACAGGAAATGTCTATTTTAAGAACTAGCTGAGGAAGTCTTCAACAAATCACTATAGAATGTTACATAAATAGAAACACCCTGCCTGTATTTACAAACCCACTTGGCAGAATTTTAAGACGTGCCCTCTGAACAGACTGTACACTCCAGAATAATGACTTTTTTTTTTTTTAAGATTTTATTAGAGCAATTGAGAGAGTACAAGCTGGATGAGAGGCACAGGGGGAGAAGCTGACTCCCCGCTGAGCAGGGAGCTTGATGCGGGACTCAATCCCAGGTCTCCTGGATCATTACCTGAGCCAAAGGCAGATGCTTAACCAACTGAGCCACCCAGGTGCCCCCACAATTTTTTTTAAAAAAGATATTGGGAAACCTAGTACGGTTGTTGAAAATAAAGCCATTAAATTTCAGTTAATCATTTTCAGTTAGTGGTTATATTTTAGTGTTACTATACACCAGAAAACTGAGAAATTAGTCTTTAAATACCATTAACTAGTAATAGAGGTTGCAGAGAGAAAAATACTCAAACCAACATCTAACAACACTTGTTTGAAAAGCATTTTGTCAGGGCGCCTGGGTGGCTCAGTTGGTTAAGTCTCTGCCTTCAGCTCAGGTCATGATCTCGGGGTCCTGGGATCAAAGCCCACATCAGGCTCTCTGCTCAGTGGGGAGTCTTTCTCCCTCTGTGCTCTCTCCCTCCGTCTGTCTCTCTCTCAAATAAATGAAATCTTTTAAAAAAAAAAAAAATGTTTCGTCAAGCATTGTGATGAATGCTGGGAAAATAAAACCTAACCAGTATCCCATCTCTCGGGGGACAGGTAAAGGAGTCTATTTACTATTGCTCTTCTCCACATGAAGTACTTGTTCATTCTCCTGACTTCCAACCCATTTACTCTAGGCAATAATCTCACTTTTTACGATTCCACCTTACAGAGAAAATAAAAGCTGGTAGATGAATGTCCTTAAGTACCTGTTTTCAAACTTCTCTCTATATATTGATTGTCTTTGCTCTCTCTCCTAAATACCTAAACATTTGCTTCAGGATTCCAGAATCCTTCTCTTTGAATTTCTTCAGTACTTCTAGCTTCTCCCTTTCTTAGTGACTTCATTTCAGCATTTAAAGGTTTATTAGTTTTACCTTTAAAAAAAAACTCTTAACTCTATGTCTTCCCTTTTGCAACCAAATTTCTCAAATTGTATAATAGATTATAATTCATCACCTTCCATTCATAACATAGGCCACTCTTTTTTCTCCTTGCCCCACTGATCTGCCAGAGTAACTTGCTCTAAGATCACCAGTGACCTCCTAGGTGTTCAGTATTTGTGGAATGAAAGTAATATATGTTTCAGTCCTTACCTTAAATTTTTGACAGCATTGTCGCAGTGGACTAGTTCTTGAAATAACTCTTCCTAAAATCTGTATCATTTTCTAGTCTATTAAAATGCTAGGATTCCTCAACATAGCAGTCATAGTTTTTTCCTCATGGTTTCATCTATTTACTTCCATTACCTTATTTACCGGTATATTCTGACAACTCATTTTTATCACCAGCTTAAGCGTCGTATCTGTGTAGCCTTTGGTGTTAATTTCTCCACTTGGGAGCTTAAATGAAAAAAGAACTAGTTAAAATTTTGAGTGTTTGTTATATACCAGGCAAGCAAAGAGTTAAGCACTTTTTATTTATCTCATTTGGTCCTTGGACAATAATAAATGAAAAGTACATAGCTTTTTTCCTGATAATTTCTCTACTTGTATAATAAAACCTTTCTCAATCTTTAGTAAGCATCAGAATCACCTAGAGGGCTTTATAAAATACAGATTTCTGGGCCTTACCTCCATAGTATCTGATTCAGTAGGTTGGGATGGGGCCTGAAATTCTATATTTCTAACAAGCTCCTGGATAATGCCCATGCTGCTGATTTGGGAACTACACTTTGAGAACCACTGCATTAGAGAAGCAAAATAACCTGCTTCACAACTGTCACACAGTTGGGATGTGGCAGAGCTGAGAATTGGTCCCATGCAGTATCTAGAGTTTACCCATTTAACCCACTGTTCTCACTCCAAACATAATTAAACTCCTCTTTCTTAGGTATCTCAGACTTAGTACCCTCATAACTACCTAAAACTGGTCCTAAACTGGTCCTCTGCCAGAGACCCTAACTGCCATTAGTATACGATGGAAACTTCCCTCATTACCTTCAAACCCTGCCTCTCCCATATTCACTCTCTTCTTCCACAAGCTACTTTCCTCCATTTGCTACTGCCATCAACCAAGTCAAGGCCACCGTCTTATTCTCATCTGGATTTTTAAAATAGCTTCCTAACTTAATCTCCCTATATCTCCTTTTGCCCTCCTTTAATTCATTCATGTAATACCAGGAATAGTCTTTTTAAAAGGGAATGAGATTAATGCCTTGTTTAAAATCCTTCTACTGCTTTTAGAGTAAAGGCCGAAATCTTTACTGTGGCGTGCAGTGTTCTCTATGACCTAACTACGCCTGCTTGAGGATCATTTTATTTTTTTCTATTCTTTCTCTCCTTCATTATGCAATTATGTAATCCTACTGGCCTCTTAGAACATAAGTACTAGATCTATTCAGTGATTTGGGGTTTTATAACTATGCATTAGAACCATTATTGGGTGGTATTCTGTTCTGTAAATGTACCACAGTTTTATTTGCCCACCACCAGTTTTTTTGAATCAGGTACCTGCTTATGTAGAGAGGAGTTTGTGTTTTTCTTTTTCTTTTTTTTTCTTTTTTTATCTTGAGTGTTGGGGGAAGCCAGAGCAGTATGGGATGGCGATATCAAAGATGAGTCTTAAATGACAGAGGACAGATTGTCCATAAAAAGTGGCATTTTTTAAATGTCTTCAAATACTTTAAAGATTTATTTGAGAGAGAGATTGAGTAGATGAGTGGGAGGAGGGGCAGAGGGAGAAGCAGATCCCCCACCAAGCAGGGAGCCCAACATGGGACTTGATCCCAAGACCCTGGGATTGTGACCTGAGTTGAAGGCAGACGCTTAAGACTGAGCTACCTAGGTGCCCTGTCTTCAGATACTTTAATTTGGGAGAGTAGATAGTATCAGTGGGATGATGCTGGATTCACTAGTACTAGTAGGAACTCGAACATTAGGACCTTATATTTAAAGAGTTTGAAAAAGCTCTGGTGAACCATTGAAGATTTTAAGTTAAGGGAGCGATTTAGGCTTTGTGTTTTAGGAAAATCTCTCTGGCATTACGAATAGAAGTACGAGCATTATATTTTGAAGCAAGGAGACCAAGAAACTATTTCAGTAATTCACTAATATAAGAGAACGGTGATGGGTAACTGAATTAATAAGGCAGTGGTAGAGAAATGGTAGAGAAATGGAAGGGATGGAACAGATTTAAAAGAAATTAACAGATTAGAACCAGTATTCATCTCATTAGTATGTCTTTTAAGCTGCCTCTCTACATCCTTTCCATATCAAGATTAAGGAATTAGCTCCTTCAAAGTCTTCCTTTACTATTCTAGTTTTTTAATTGGTCTTTTTCACTTCTGAATCCATAGAGAAACAGCAATGTTTGACACATCTAGTACATAGTACTAATAGTAGCAGTTGTTATTGGGTGCCAAATGCCATAATTTGTAACACTTGGATTATCTAATTTCTATGATCAAATCTGTGATCTGGTTGGCAGCATATGAGGAAACTGAGGCACATGCTCACATAGCCAGTAACCTAATTCACCCTGCCTCTTAAAGCTTATTCCTATTCAGTACAGTGTTCTTACTGTTGAATGTGCACTTGTTCTTGTAGTTGTCTTATGATTTTGTGCCTTAGTAGTATTAAGCACATAGTAGATATTATAATTTGCAGATATCTTTCTATTTAGTCAGCATAAGAAACAATACCAAGAAGGGAGTGGTTGGTGATGGCTATAGTGTGGTTGTAAATAACAGATTATTCTACATCTCCTTTTCAGATCTGGATGGTGCTCTACTCTCAGGGCCAGATTGTGATAGGAATGTGAATACAAATTTATTGGCTGAAGCCGGCTCCAGTCAGGATGGAGGTGATGCTGGTAGGTACAGTAGGATTTTAGTAAGAGTATGTTAAAGAGGATTTGAAGATTGGCAAGTGTTTGTGTACATATTTAAGGACCTATTGCAGTTTCTTTCCCTTAAAAGAGAGTATTCTATGTAAATACTTTCAATCCGTGGTAGCTATGTTTATGATAACACTTTGGAAGTCTGGTAAATACAAATGGATGGGTGTTTATTATTGTTTGAGGGAGCCATTTATTTAGAGCTTTTAAAATTCTTAAATATCAAGTAATTAAGTTAATAGAGCTGGTGGCTTTATATTTCAATCAGTTGTATTTTGGGAGGAGTATCCTATACATAGAGGCAGAGAATCCATAAATATTCCAGAGAACAAAATGAGTATAAATAAATAAAGAAGGGAAAAAGCTTTCTTTAGAGAAGAATGCCAAGCTAATAAATACAGAATGACAATTGAAAAAATACCCCACAGGAAATAATTGAAGATCATCCATGGATGTTAAGCCACTGTTAATGGGCTTATCTCACAATGATTGGGCAAAAGGCTGTTGTAATAGCATATTCACATGGTCTCTATATCATCTCACAGATTACTTCATTTACAAAGAGGAAAGATTGCTTTATAATAGAAGCAGAAATACCATGCCTCTTGTCATAATGCACTAGCCAGCACACAACATCACCTATGTAATATTCTTGCCAAAATGCTTAACCCAAAACTAATCATGAGGGGTGAGAACATCAGACTGGTCTACACAAATCCAGCTACTCTGAATTTTAAAATGTTAATGCCATGGAAAACAAGCAGAGGAACCACTAGATTCAAGGAAACTGACTAAATGCATTGTCAATCTTGATGACATCAGGGTTCTAAAATGACTAAAGGGGCATTTGGGGAACAGTTGGGAATTTGAATGTATAGTATGGATTAAATAGACAATTTTAAATTTCTTGGGTGTGATAAAGGTACTGTGGTTATGTAGGAGAAAGTTCTAGAAGATACATGCTATATTGAGGGGGAAGCAATGATGTGCAGGTTTTCAAATAATACGTATAATACATAAAAGGTGGGTATGTGTGTTTATAGAGAGCACACGTGGCAAAACATCTGTCAAAGGTACATAAAGGGATATAGATGTTCATTGATTTCAACTTCTCATAGCTTTGGAATTGTTAACTGATGGGGAGGGGGACAGCTAGGGGTACTTTTACATAAAGCTTTCACAGGTTTCTGAATGTAGTATGCACTGACCAAAGTTAAGCCATGTAATTTTGAAGAAAAGAAATTGCCTTAAGGTGGTTTCTCCTAACTGTTGAAAAAGAGTTTACAGAAAGTTTTGAAATAAGCCATTTACAGATCATATGGGTTGAATTTTGAAGACTTTTTCCTTGTACAAAAAAATCAGTAATAGTACAAGGTATTTTATATTTGGTTTAGGAATCTGGTTGAAGAATGGGTTTAGACAGGGTACGTGAATTCATACATAAAATTTTCAGTTCTGCACGTAAAACATTTCATTGGAGAATGGTTCATATAATTCATCTCCTTTTCAAAAAAGTAAACTCTTAATTTAGAGTCATTTCTCTTTAGGGGAGATTTTGATCCATTTTTGTTTTTGCAACTGAGATCAGCCTTTGTCTTCTGATTTTCATTTCAAAAGAATGCTGCTTTCTTCTTAGTTTGCCATTATGGAAAAACGCACCCTGAAGGATATTACTGAGCAGTGAGCACAATTTTCAAGTAGATCTTGAATGACCTTAAAGATCTTTCAGTGATTGAATTACAAAAGCAATACCTTTAATTTGCTCATATACTTCTATAAGTAACCTCTACTGGTTATAAGAATTTGGCCAGATGAGAGAAGTTTGGGATGAGGTTTTCTTAATTTGAATTATCATTTTGGTATTCTAGATATATGGTGTCTCCTGTCTGTTTTCATGGATGCTTTTTATTAATCTTTAGGTTATCGAGAGAAACATGGAATTGCAAGTATTAACTAATTCTGAATCTTGGGTCATCAATTTATAAATTAGTTTTTGAAACATGGAATTTCAAGTACTCTTAATTCTGAATTTTGGGTTACCAGTTTATAAATTTTTTTAAAGATTTTTTTGAGAGTGAGAGAGCAAGCCTGAGTGGGGGTAGGGGCAGAGGGCGAGGGAGAAGCAGACTCCCCACTGTGCAGGGAGCCTGATGTGGGGCTCAATCCCAGGACCCTGAGATGATGACCTGAGCCAAAGGCAGACGCTTAACCAACTGAGCCACCCAGGTGCCCCTATAAATTATTTTAGGGCTAGTTTGTTCTTACATGTAATGAAAATACTAACTTGAGGTTATTAACATATCTAACATGATTGACATTAGTTTTACAAGTATTTTGAGCAAATCAAAAATATATACATGTTGGTATTTGCTAACATACATTTATTCAACAAATAATTGAAGGGTGTATGCTTTGGACATTAGAAATACAAAGGTGAGGGTGCCTGGGTGGCTCAGTCGTTAAGCGTCTGCCTTTGGCTCAGGTCATGATCCCAGGGTCCTGGGATCGAGTCCCACATCGGGCTCCCTGCTCAGTGGGAAGCCTGCTTCTCCCTCTCCCACTCCCCCTGCTTGTGTTCCTGCTCTCATTGTCTCTCTGTCAAATAAATAAATAAAATCTTTAAAAAAAAAAAAATACAAAGGTGAGTAAAACAGGCACAGTCCTTGCTCTCAGAGCTTCCTTTTTTGCACTGATTTGATCAAGAACCATGAGTCAAAGCTCCAACTTTATTTAGAAATGTAAAGCTGAAAATTGATAGATACATGTTCACAGGCTACCACCCCCTAATCCTAATTTCCATCCCCCCCCCCACACACACACAGATAATGGTGTCTCAGTTTAAGATTCTGAAAGCTTTCCCTCAAACAAAAATACATAATTACGGAATCAGAAGGCTTTCCTAACATTTAAAAAATGGGTGAAGGTATTCCAAGTATAAAATAATTTACATTATTAGTAATGAAATTTTTAAATACCTTAGGGACCTTTTTGCATTGTTAGGTATTGATATTTTCACCAAAGAGGAAATACTAGGTTATTTTAATTTTTAGAGAAGTAGTATATATGGCAGATAGATGGAGGAAAATGAATTTTTAGAACACCCATTTTGGTAAGCATTCTTTTATAAAATCCATGGTTTTCATGGAAGGAAAATTAATAAATTACTGCACAAGTAAGCTAGCATATAGCCTGGAAAGGAGTGTTCAGGCAGAGGAAAGAGTGCAAAGGTCTGGAAGAGGGAGCCATTTTCCCATGGAGGAACAGTACAAAGGCCAGTATGGCTGAAATAGAGTGACCCAAGTGGGTGGTTAGATCAAGGGCTAGATTAGGTAAGGCTGTGTGAGATAATTTTAAGTCTTTGGTTTTTATATGAGTGAGATGGGTAGTCCTTGCAGGCTTTTGAGCGCCAGGCTCTCACTTAAAGTTCTGAAAGAATCTATAATTGTTGTGTTGAGAGCAAATTCTAAGAGGGCAACAGTATGAGACAAACTCTGATGGCTATTGAAAATAATCCAGAGGCAAGAGTTAATGGTCAATAGGATCAGGGTGGCAATAGCTAGCTATGGAGAACACTGGATATGTTCACATTGCCAAAGGATTCCTGGAGCCAGGTAAAGACATACATATTCAAGAAGGAATCCTGTCTAGGAGGCATCTGGCTGGCTCATGATGGAGCATGCAACTCTTGATCTCAGTGTTGTAAGTTGGAGCCTCACATTGGGTGTAGAGATTACTTAAAAATAAAATCTTAAAAAAAAAATAAGGGGGGGGTGGAGGGAATGCTATCCAGAGGAGGTAATTCTTACCCTTAGGCACAAATTCCTTAAGGGACATTGACTATTTTGATTCTACTTTTCGGATTTTCATTTAAGGATGGAGTTAGAAAGAGGTTTATATTCTTCATTCTTAGTCCATTTTTCTATACTGATAAGTCTTAAAACAAGATTATGTGATTGGAGACAATAAGGAGACTATCCTGTTCCAAAGCTGGGCTTCAGGGTGACCAGTTATTAAGAGAGTTCTGTTTTGAATATGTTTGAAATACAGAGTAGTTCCATGTGGTCTCCATGCACTATTAAATGAAGTATGAAGACATTTCGGTTTCAGATTACAATGCAGAGATTTTTATCTAGCTATTTATAATAATCATAATGCTCATAAGATAATTTATTTTCTGGGTTTTTTTTTATTCTAATAAGAGATTTTCATTACCATCATTACATCAAAATCACTTTTCAATTGTATTAGGTACTTCACATGATTTCAAGTATGGCCTGATGCCTGGCCCTTCAAGTGATTTCAAGTATGGATTGCTACCAGGTACTTCAAATGATTTCAAGTATGGATTGATACCAGGTGCTTCAAACGATTTCAAGTATGGATTATTGCCTGAATCTTGGCCAAAACAAGAAACTTGGGAAAATGGCAAGTATCAGTCAACTAAACTCTACAGAAATTTTAAAATGATTTTTCACAGTTAAAAGCTTCCATGTTCTGGGTTTTAAAAAATTAAGATACTGGTAGTCCTATAATAATCCCTATACTTAGGGATAGACAAGCTTTTGATAGCAAGTTTTCTGTTCAATATATAATTGCTTTTGTGTGTGTTGTGTTGTTTTTTTTATTCTCAAAGGTGAATCATCTCTAATCATGAACAAGTTAAAATGCCCTCATTGTAGCTATGTAGCCAAATACAGACGAACACTAAAAAGGCATTTGCTCATTCATACGGGAGTCAGATCATTTAGCTGTGATATTTGTGGAAAACTGTTTACTCGCAGAGAACATGTGAAAAGACATTCCCTGGTAAGTAACTTTAAATATAACTGATCTTTGAGATAAAATACATGTCAGTGAAGTTTAAGATATTTTAAGTTACCTGAAATTTAGGGAATGTTGATTATTAAATTGCTTTAAACAAATTATGTGGTTTATGAACTGAACTTTATACAGAAAAACAAGGGTATCATTCACTCATTATTAAATGGGTGGTTTAATTGAATGGTTGAAATGCATTACTGTCTATACTGTCCTTATATTGGATTTTTCCCCCCTTTAATTAGGTGCATAAAAAGGATAAAAAATACAAATGTATGGTGTGTAAGAAGATCTTCATGTTAGCAGCCAGTGTTGGAATAAGACATGGATCTCGACGCTATGGTGTTTGTGTAGACTGTGCAGATAAATCACAGCCAGGAGGGCAAGAAGGTGTAGATCAGGGACAGGATACAGATTTCCCTCGGGATGAAGAATATGAAGAGAATGAAGTAGGAGAAGCTGATGAAGAGCTGGTTGATGATGGAGAAGATCAGAATGATCCATCTCGATGGGATGAATCAGGAGATGTTTGTATGTCTCTAGATGATTAACTGACCTATACTCCTCAAGGATGCTGCATTTGGACATAATATGAATCGACAATTTGAATTGTTGAACTTGAAGGCTTGCAAAATATGGTACATGCTGGATGGTAGTTATGTTGCTGTGAAAACTGTAGGGTCAAAAAGCCTTATAGCAAAAAAAAAAAATTTTTTTTTTTATATTTGCACAGGACTGTACAGCAAACAACCTTGTGGTTGGATTACATGGAGTCCCCACATCTTCAGTCAGTTATCAAAGTAAAAATATTTTTTATTTATAGGATATACAGTAACTACTTGGGTCCTACGAATATATTGTACCTATCCTTAAAGAGCTTATGTTCATGTGCCACTTTAACATGAATGAAGAAAATCCATTTTTAAGACTACAGTGACAGCTGACCCAATTACTCTGTCCATCAAACCACTCAGGCTAGTTTGTACTAGTAGAGTTTTGTTTCTATTTTTATTTTTATTAATTTTATTTTTTTTAATACAGATTTTCAGTGAGGGGCCTTTTCAACCCCATTGGTTCTACTTTTCTGTATTTTTCCATTTTAATTTGCTTCATAACTTAAACCAAGTCTCTTCTAGTCTTAGATATTATTTCTCAATTTTGTGCTGATGGGCATGTTTATAAGAACTGGAGAGGTAATTTATTGGAATGAACTGACTTCCTCCATTCCCCCTTTCCTTTTTGACATGAATTTTACTACTTCACAAATGAAGAAATGATGTTGCAAAGTTAACGTGGCGAAGTTGACAAATACCACTAAAATGATTATGATTTAGAAGTAACTTTCTCCTGCTGCTCTAATCTGATAAATGGTTATTACATGACGTTTTCTGACATGGTATTCGGTTTTGGGTATCTGTTACTTTGGCACTATTCTTGTTTGCCTCTTTATTTTTGCCAGTGTACTATACCTCAGTCCTATTTGAAAAGACAGAAATCTAATCAAAAGAAAAGTCATAGAAACAATTAAGTAAAATGATTTGTTTCCTAATTTGACCTCCGTGTCCAGTTTGGTTAGCTTCTTATGCGATATAAGTGAAATCAGGTTTTTACTCCTGTGCCCTTTTTATCATTAAAAAAAACACAAAAAGTGCATTCTCTTTTGTTTGATACTTACTGGGATATTGAGTGTTTTGAAATTATGATAGATAATTATTTTTTCAATTCCTCAACATTTTACTACATCTTGATATATAGTCTTTCTGGTAGTCACCATGATTCAACAGTCTGCAAAAATCTTACAAATAAGATATTGAGAGGCTTTACAATTATTCTGTTAACTAAATTCTTCAAGGTACAAGGGATGATATATTAAATTGAAATTGTCAGATTTATTTAGTCTGATGACAGATGAATTAGCTGATAAACTCACAGCAGCATTTCACATAATTAATATTAACATGCATGACATTTATCAGGAACATATTGTATATTCTATAAGATTGAGGGATATCATATTTTCAGCTTTCTTTTAAATAGAAATTGAGTATATTTTCCTATTTTATATCAGGTCACTAAATTATGCTATTTGTGTGGAAAAAATTGCTAAGTACACTTTGACAGACATAATCCTTTGGTGCTCCATCTGATCAAAGTTGAAAGGTTGATACTTTTTTTTTTTTAAGAGACAAGCTTTCTCATTGTCTCCAATTTCGGTAGTATAATGGTTTAATGTTAGACATGGATGTTTCTGCTTGAATAAATCAAAGATAAAAAGTACAGTTACATGGTTAGATACATATTTTGTCATCTAAACTTTATTGTAGTTTCTACATAACTGTAAAACTGACATGAATAGTTTGGTTTGATTTTTGTTTAAGACTGAAGAGTACATCTTATTTCTCAGTGTTCTAGACAAATGAGTATAATGTAATTCTGGTGGGGTCCAAAGTAGACGTTAGTTGGGCAAAGATACTATGAATGAAAAAGTATTTTAAACGTAAAATGTTCTGCTTTGTGAATATGTAAGTATAGTATAAAGATTTCTTTCATCCCATTTATCCCCCTCCTTTAAAATAAACCATAGTTTACAATTGGTAGATCTGTCTATATATAAATATATATTAAAGAGAAAAGATATATATCTGAAAATCACCTAAATCTGCTTTATTAGACTACAGTTCACTTATTGCATAGAAACTGGACTTGGCTTTACTTCTTAATGTACTTTTACTTTTCCTCAAGATATGAACTTACTCTCTTTAAACTGAATTTTCTTTTACTACTTAAATCATTTATGTATATCTGGTAAATTATGACCAAATTTTTGTTAGATTGCATACAGTAAATTGAAATACACACTTGGTACACTACGGGATTGTTGTGCTTTTGTTTTGGTTTTAGTTGGAAACAAGGTTTGATGTAGATGGCTTGTTACTGTTAATTTAAAATATTCTATAATTGTCCATTACCTTTTATGTTGTATTGTGACAGATTTGGCTATATTTTTAGTCAACTGAAATATGATACTTTAAAAGTTTGTTTTTAGAAAGGTAATCCAAAGGAATGTTTATACTCTTGAATATATTAGCCTCAGCCTATATAAAAATTTCTTCTTTAAAGTAAACATTTTACCAGAAACAGAATTGACAGATTTTTCTACTTGCTGACTGCCTAACTTATTTGTTTCATGATCTCAAGGGACTGCCTTTTCCCTTCTAGGTCTTTTTTTAAAAATAGTTTTAGTACTAAGGTATACTACTGGACGTTTCTATTTTTTTTTTTAAGTATATTCTTTTTCTGACTTACAGTACAATTTCAGGAAGTTGATAGATACTAAGAACTTATGATTGGTCTCAGAGGTGACAATGGAATACTCATAATTTTGTCTGTGGAGCCCTGGCAGAATTATGTGTTACACATTTGCTGAATTTTTCTCTTGTAACTTATATTTTAAATGAAACATATTTTAGAGCTGTAATTTTAATGAAGAGGAAAAATATAAACTGTTTCTTTCCTATTCACTCTAGTAACAGATCCTCTCCTATAAAATGTATTCTTTCTTAGGGTTCTCAGACACAGTTACTTCCATATGGTCCCTGCTTTGTCGTTGTTCCTGACCCTCATTTTTCATATTCACTAGATAATGTTGCTAATTTTAGTGCCCTAGCAATTAAGAGCTTAAAGAAACTGTAGGAAGGGGAAACTGAACACTAATAAATAGCTTTGAAATTTGGAGGGGAAGACACTGGCTGGTTTTGTTAGAGCCATCCTGATGGAGAAGAGGGAGATAGAATGAGTGAATTCATGTAAAGTGCTTCCAACACTGGTACATAATAGAGGCCTAATACATCTTAGTTTAATAATAGATGCAAACCAAGAGGAAAAGGGGAGAAAACAGAAAATGGGAAATCTATAGTCCTACAATAAAGTATAAAGGCCTGAAGATGACAGGGGGGAAAGTGTGATGGAAGAGTTTTAAAAAAGTCATAAATTTTAAAACTTCAGTAAGCTTTATGTATATTTTTAGGATTTTGTCAACATAGAGTTTATTTTTCTGAATAATGATTCCAAAAGCTAACTTTTTTTTTTTTTTAGTGCCTACATGTGCCGTTGAGCTTTACATTATTTTCTCTAATTCCCAATAAGGTAGGTGCTATTGTCTCCATTTTATGGAAGAGAAAGGCTCCAAGAAATTTGCATAATAGAACTTGCCCAAAATAACACAGCTACTAAGTGGTAGAGCTGGGTTTTGACCAGATTTGATTTTGAATGAAGCCCATCTTCTTTTTAGGGGGCTCTATTAACTGCCTCATTAAACAACTTCATAGAATTTCAGGGCTTTAAAGGAGTTTGTGTATGGAGACCTGTTTTCTCTGTAAACCATCTATGTTAGGAATTTGAGTGTCTAATCTTTCCTTCCCCAAATACCCTTATCACTCTTTTCCTCCTAATAAAGCAGTTTTGTCACCTGGCTATAAATAAGATACCTGACCTCAGTGTAGCACATGCTATTAATTGGCTGTGGCATTTTCATTTTTAAAAGGATGGTTTTAAAGTGAAGAATGGACATGAACCCCAGTTTTTGTGCCGTTCAGTCACCCAGATCCTTAAACTTAACTATGGTACATAAATTATGTGCTTAGAACTAACAGGTGTTTTTTCGTAGTCACTTTTAGGAATTAAGTGGAAAATTTTTTTCCTGCTCTATCCCTGCTTTCAAGTGAAGTTGAACCATTCTTAGTTTAAAATGTGTTAGGGATAAGCACACTAACAGATGTTTTCTAGCCCTGAATTTTAGGACATTGGGTACTTAATTTGGAGTACACTGGCTATTGAGAACAAAATTTTGGGTTGAGGAGAGAGAGGGATGGTTGAGGCCATTATGAAATGGGAGAATCAGCATTTTAAACACTGTAAACATAAAAGAACGCTTTCTTCTGCCTGCTGTTTGTAAAAGCTCTTTGGGAAGACCTTTTACGAAGACCAATTTTTTTAAATGTAATTTACCTACCTAGTATAAGTGTCCTAAGACATGTATGTAAACTTCCACAACTGTTTTGTCTGTGTATTTAGAAAATACACAAGAATCTTTATCAAACCTAAAAATATAAACTTGTGAGCACTAAACTTGCTTCTGGCTTTGTGAATTTTGTTGACTCTGACATTTAATTCAGATTTCTTTGCATTAAAAGTGTACTAATTTAGACTAATTGGAGTAGGGGAACACCTTTGTAAACTTCGACTTATGTATAATTCAGATACCTTTGTACTTAAAGTTTACAAGTTTGAATTACAGAATATTAGGGTTTTTTGGTTTTTATGTTTTTATATGAAGTGCATAAATGACTCAAACTACCTCCTAGTGATGCTTGGAAAGCTGCTTTAATAAGTGATTTGTAATCAGCATTTCATCTATTCATCTTTATTACTTGTGGGAATTCTCTACAGGTTTTAGAAAACATTATTTCCCCTCTAATTTACATGTGTGCATAATTTTGGAAGTGGTTTGAAAAGCAAAGGTAAACTACTTCATCCCATATTTACTGCATATTAGCAGACGAATTATAAGTAAATACATGTTTCAAGTCTGAAATTTTAATAGTATAGAGAAAACATACTTACCTGGGTTTTTGTGGTGGTGTTAGTAATAGAACAAAGGAAATCGTACAAATGACTAGATACTCTCCTAAGGAAATGAGAGTTTTGTTTGGAGAAGGCTGCCCATGTAACACATAGGCCTGATGTCTTAAAATTGTAAAAGAGCTGTGGCAGAATAATTAGGTATACTGTATGGTTTTGAGAGGTTAAGACTGGGACCACTTGGCTCAAGATTAAAAAGCTGACACCAAAAAGGACTCGGTGGACATTTAGAAATCATGCTTAACTGTATAGAAAAAAGTGCTATTTGAGCTTTTTTCTTTTTCACTTTGCAAATCATCACAGACCAGTATTTGGAAGCTGGTGTAGGAAATTAAGTTACTGGATCCATGGTTCGATGAGAAAATTAAAGGTCCTTTGGATCGTAGTCTTTGTTGTAAACCTTCCTGAATTTTGAACTAAAGAAGGAAATAAATGAACCACAAGAAATCTATACAGTTTAATTAAAGTGAATAAAAAATAGGCTGGATGACTGCATGGTGCCTTTACATGCTGTTGATACTACCTTCTGACTGCCAACCAGATAACTTCTTTTTTCCAACACAACCAAAGTTTGGCAATAAATTACTAATCTTCCAAGCATAATTAAGTATGTTTTAGAATATTAGTGAAAGATAAGCAAAAGACAATCTTCTTGGCACATGTCTCAACAGTCAACTCAGTAGGAAAACACAAAATATTGCAAGATAATTGTAGAATGTTTCAGGTTAAAATTTTGAGAAAAAAATTGATTCCCAGAGAGGTTACAATGATTTTACAGTCCGTTTTGGGATCCAGGACTTCTGAACTTCATTTCAGTATTTTATCTGTATCTAAAACTTGTTGGATAAGTGATTTAATATTTGGGAAAACTGAAATTGGACTACAAAGTATAGTCAGGTGCAATTCCTGGCACATAAATCTGAGCTCAAAGTTGTTCACTAAGAGATGATTAAAAGATGTCAGCAACTTTTTTAGGATTTTGCTTGCTAGTATCTAATGGCATATAAGTTAATAAGCTAATTTGGTTTATAAGCAGTTTGTGTTGCCAAGTACAGGGTATGTGGGATCCCTTGGCACTTTTCCCCACTACACCCCTAGGTGACCGTATCTGAAGACATAATGACCAAACCCAACCTATAGCAAATATGACTACAGAAATCTCAATGCAAGTAGCCTTTGGGTTTTTTTAACCTACACCATCTGCTTAACTTGGAATACTGACAAGCTTAAGTATTAGCCATTTGCTGCAAAATACTTGTTTGAAAATAATGGCTGGCTTGTCACCACTAATATCTTAAGTGTCTAATATTCATTGTATATAAGTAGGATGTGAAAACCTAGAGAAAACCCTATTGGAGTTTATACCTTGATGGAGAGTGCAACAGTGCATCAATAAAGATCATTTAGATCTGATGCTTTTGTCGCTAATAATGATTTTTGTATTTGTTAGAGAGGCATGTTGAGTGGGCATTTATACCATATGAAACAGGACAAATGTGTGTTCGTGTGGAAGACGGAACTTAGTACCCCTCACCTTCTTCCCTCTTCTTCCTAAAACCTGTATCCCTAAACTTGGATGTTGGCATTCACATAGACAACGTGGGTAATTAATTCTCCGAAGTACATTTTACCACAGTAATTTTTCAAGTAATTGTCACCTAAAGCATTAAATCAGTGAGGTCATTCCAAAGAAGGGCAAGTCTACGGGCTGAGTCCTTGTCCACCAAGAGTACTAGTCCAGGGAATTACCGTCACCCAAGGCAATGGAGATTTGAAACCGTTTTTTATGCATTGGTATGGATTTTCTTTTATTGGTAGTCTTAAATTTGCCTCCTTTTAGGATTTTGTCATTTCATAGACTTAAAAGATGTTTGTTAGAATCCTACATTAGATTTCAGGCAGTTTTGGGGAGGCATTCTAAATTTTGGCCCTTACTTGTGCCTTCTGAAGGCAGCTGACTCTTAATTGGCACCCCAGTCTGTTTTCTGGCCCCTTCGTTACTACTGGTGACTTATTCTGTACTCAAAATGTGAGCTCCCCTTTTAGCCTATGGACTCCTCTCTGGTTATATATGTATTCAACAGATAAATACTGAAGACTCATTTGTGAGAAAATGGTTACCTGTGATGGATAATGACTTCACACACTATCCTGTTCTCAATTATTACAAGCCATTTGCCAAGAAAGATTCAAAATTAAGCAGGGAACCAATAGGCCCTTCATT